TATTTTCACTTGAGTTTGTATTGCTACTCATCTATCTTTCTGATATACTGTTGTTTTGTTTCTTTAATTCTCTTTCTCAAGGTCTTCATCCTTCTGTACAATGAAACCATACATATACTTTAAAGGGGGGAAAAAATAACTGTGGTTCACTGAGCATCGTAACAAGTTCATTCTAAAATGGTCAAATGCACCAGCAGTATGTGATAATTTCCCCCAGTCTCTTTAATAAGTTATGTTGTCAGGCTTTTTGATTATATTAAAAGTGGTCTTTTAGTATAATTATAATTTGCCTTTATTTTGTTATGAGTCAAATTGAGAGTTATTTATTTATTTATTTATTTATTTTTGAGTTGGAATCTCACTCTGTAACCCAGACTGGAGTGCAGTGGCCACTCCTGGCCACCGCAGCCTCAACCTGCTGGGCTCTGGCGACCCTTCCGCCTCAGCCTTCCAAGTAGCCGGAATCACAGGCATGCGCTACCACACCCGGCTGATTTTTTTTTATTTATTGTAGAGATGAGGTCTCGCTACCCAGGCAGGTCTCGAACCCGCAGGCTCAGGCAATCCACTCACCTCAGCCTCCCAAAGGCGCGGGATTACAGGCTGAGCCACCGAGCCCGGCTGAGAGTTTTTATCAAGAAGCAATGTTGGATTTTATTAGATACTTTTCCTGCATTTATTGAGATAATCATGTGGTTCTTGATTTTATATCTATTTATGTAGTGGATTACATTTATTGATTTGCACATGTTGAATCACTTTTGCATCTCAGGAATGAAGTCCACCTGATCATAATAAAGAATCTTTGTACTGTGTTGTTGGATGCAATTTGCTAGTATCTTGTTGATATTTTTTTGTCTATGCTTAACAGTGAAATTGGCCTGACGTTTCATTTTTAGTTGGGTCTTTGCATTTTGGGGGATCAGGATGACACTGGCTTTATAGAGTGAGTTAGAGAGGATTCCTTCCTTCTTGACTGCTTGAAAAACTTTCAGTAGATTGCTATCCGCTCTTCCTTGTATACGTGGTAGAATTCAGCTAAGAAACCATCTGATCCGGGGCTTTTTTTTTTTTTTTTTTTGCCCACAGGGAATGACATTTGAACAGTGCTGGAAGATAGCTGTTACTTTTTCTCTTTCTTTCAGTTTTGTCTTCTTTTTTCTTCTTAATTGTGGTAAAATATATATAACAGAAAATTTACCATTTTAAACTTTTTTTTTTTTTTAGTTGGGATCTCACTCTGTCACCTAGGCTAGAGTGCAATGGCATGATTACAGCTCACCGCAGCCCCTAACTCTTGGGTTCAGGCAATCCTCCCACTTCAGCCTCTCCAGTAACTGTGACTGTGTCTAATTTTAAAAATTTTTTTGTAGAGACAAAATCTTGCTATGTTACCCAGATTGTTGAACTCCTGGGTTCATGCAGTCCTCTCACCTCAGCCTCCCAAAGTGCTGTGATTACTGCACTTTGAGCCACTGCACTTGGCCTTTACCCATTTTAAATGTATAATTCAGTCGTATTAAGTACATTCACAATGTTGTACAACTAACACCATATCCATTTCTAGAACTCACTCATCATCCCAAACAGAAACTCTGTATTCGTTAAACATTCCTTCCCCCAGCCCCTGGTAACTTCTGTTCTACTTTCTGCTGCTATGAATTCATCTGTTCTGGATACCTCATGAAAGAGAAATCATGCAATATTTGGTCTTTTGTGTCTGGGTTGTTTCATTTAGCATAATCTTTTGCAGGTTCATCCGTGTTGTGGCTTTATCTGCACTTCATTTTTTCTTATGGATGTATAATATTCCACTGTATGAACAGACTACATTTTGCTTATCCATTCATCTGTTGATGAACATTTGAGTTATTTCTTCTTTTGCCTATTGTGAACATTGCTACTGTGAGCATTGGTGTACAGTTGTTTGAGTACAATTGTGTACGTTGGTTTGAGTGTACAATTGGTGTACAATTGTTTGAGTACAATTGTGTACGTTGGTTTTGTACGTCAGTTCTTTTGGGATATATACCTAGGAGCGGAATTGCTGAATCAGATGAGAAGTCTGTGTTTAACTTTTTGAAGATTTTTCTTGATTCTTAAGAACTTTTTATAAACCAGGATTGTCCCATTAGCCATAAGTTTCAAGAATTTTCTCTGTTATTTGTCCTTTTTTTTTTTTTTTAATCAGGTTCCTAGTGCTGGAAATGTCATTTATCTTTTGACTTCCTGTTTGTTGTTGTTGCTATTATTGATGTGCAAGTTTTTTGCTTTGTTTTTCACCTTTGCATAGTGGAATTTATATCTTTTCTTGCTTTTGGATTTTGCTTCCTTGTTTCATAGTTAGAGAAGTCTTTTTCCATACCTAGGTTATAATCCACCATGTTTCCTTCTAGTGCTTGTGCTTGTATAGTTTCTATTTTCTATTTTTTTTTTTCAGTCAGAGTCTCACTGTCATCCAGGCTGGAGTGCAATGGCATGCTCATGGCCACCGCAGCCTTGACCTGCTGGGCTCAGGAGATCCTACCTCCTCAGCCTTCCAAGTAGCTGGAACCAAGGCAAGCGCCACCATGTCTGGCTAATTTTTTGATTTATTGAAGAGACAAGGTCTCACCAAGTTGCCCAGGCTGATCTCGAACCCCTGGGTTTAGGAAATCCTCTCAGCTCTGCTTCCAAAGTGCTGGGATTACAGACGTGAGCCACCACGCCTAGCTCTCTATTTTCTTTTTTAATATTTTAAAAATATATTTTAGAGCTATAGAGACGAGGCTTGCTATGTTGCCCAGGTTGGTCTCAAATTCCTGGGCTCAGCAATCCTCCCATCTCAGTCTCCCAAAGTGCTAGGATTACAGGCATGAGCCACCACACCCAACCTTGATTTCTATTTTCTTTTAACATTAAAACTCCACTTGGGGTTTATTCTGGTATATAATAACATAATGTTTGGATCCAATTGTATCTTTTTGCAGTGATTATCTGGCTGCCCCAAGGTTATTTATTTAAAAAATTATCCTTCTTTGAGATATCACCTTTATAGTATATTCAACTTCCACATAAACTTCAGTCTATTTCTGGACTTTCAATTGTGTTTCGTTGGTTTATCTCTCTAGAATCCAGTATTTATTCATCCAACAATCCATTATCAAAAGCCTACTGTCTGCTAGGGGTTGGCTTCAGTGGTTAGTGAAGAAGGCATTATTTCTACCTTCAGGGAGATTCAGGAGCGAGAAAATAAACAGAACAACAGATGAGTAAGTAAATGAAAATCGAGTTACAACTAATAAAAGTATGATGAAGACAGGGTGCAAGAGATGGGAGAGAGAATAAAGGTGTCTTAGGGTTTACTGGACTGAGCGCTTTTTTAAAGTAGGAGTTTTCATCTGAGACCTGAAGAATGAGAAAAACAGCATACAAAGCACCCAGGACAGGAGTCCTGATAGATGGAAGAACCAGATGAGAGGTCTAAGATGGAGAAGCCCTAGATTTATTTTAGGTGCTCAAAGGAGGCCTGTGGCTTGGTACACAGGGAGGAAAGAGGAGAGTGCTCGGTTTGAAGATGCATTGCACTTGGTTGACACAGAGTGACAACAAAGACAAGCAGTGACCTACTTTGCCAAGAATTTTGTGAGCCGTGGCAATGAGTTGGAATTAGTTCTAGGTGCAGTTAGGAAGTCAGTGAAAAATTTAAACAGAGATTTTAATTTGGATTGGCATCAGCATCATGTGGTAGGAAGTGTTAAAAATTTGGATGCTTTATTAATATAAAATGTCCAGAATAGGCAAATTCATAGAGACAGAATCTGTGGTTCTCTGCCAGTAATAGTTGCCAGGGACTAGAGGGAATAGGAAATGAGGATGACTCATAATGGGTATGGACTTTTTATCTGGAGTAATAAAAATATTCTCAAAATAGACAGTGGTGATGGTCATACAACATTGGGAATGTACTACAAACCACTGAATTATGGTTTTGGGGGGTTTTTTTGAGTCAGAGTCTCACTGTGTCCCAAAGCTGGAGTGCAGTAGCACACTCATGACTCCTGCAGCCTCAACCTGCTGGGTCAGACAATCCTTCCACCTCAGCATTTTTTTATTTGTTGTAGAGTTAAGGTCTCACCAAGTTGCCCGGGCTGGTCTCAAACCCCTGGGCTCAAGCAGTGCTCTCGCCTCTGCCTCCCAAAGTACGGGGATTCAAGGCATGAGCCACCATGCCTGACTTGAGTTATGCATTTTATTTTATTTTATTTTTATTTGTTTTTGAGTCAGGGTCTCGCTCTGTCACCCATGCTGGAGGGCAGTGGCATGATCACGGCTCACTGCAGCTTGACCTCCTGGGCTCAGGCAACCCTTCTGCCCCAGCCTCCTGAGTAGCTGGGACTAGAGGTACACACCACCATGCTGGGCTAATTTTTAACATTTTTTTGTAGAGACAAAATCTCATTATGTTGTCCAGGCTGTTCATTGCTTGAACTCCTGAGCTCAAGCAATCCTCCCGCCTCAGCCTTCCAAAGTGCTGAGGTAACAGGTGTGAGTCCACTGTGCATAGTCTCTGAATTATGCATGTTTAAATGATCTAAGAGGGGAATTTTATGTTATGTGGATTTTTCCTCAATTTAAAAGTATGTCTATTCTTTAATATGCATAGGTAGATATGCATACACATGCATATACCCACCTTAACCCTGCACCTGTAGATTTTAGTTCTGTTTGAGATGCTGCTTGGATATTTGTATTTTAACAGGTATCCTGGATGATTCTGGTCTGTTTCTAAATTGAGAACCCCTGGCTTCTTCTGTTTGCCTACTCTTTTCTGGCACCATAGGAGTTCTTACTATATCTGTGCTTTCATGTACTTTTTAGAAGTTGAATAATATTTGAGACTTATATAAGCCATTCACTTTTATGGTTATTATCTTCATTTTGTCTCCCTGTTCTACTTTAGGAGTTTTTATTTCTCATAGAAGAGAATAACTTGTATTTACTTCTTTCTTATTTTTCAGACTTGGAATCCAGACGTGAGAAGTTTCAACACAAAGATATTTTTGAAATAAGGTCATTCCATTGGGAGATAATGAAAAGCTTTAAATGCTGCGATCCTGAGGGCTCCAGTTTTAGAGATAACTGGGACTACGAAGGCCGGTTTGAGAGACAACAAGTAAATCAGGAATGCTGTTTCAAGCAAGTGAAAATCACCTGTGAAAACATGCCCGCTTTCAAGCACCGCACATCTCACCCTCTGCACCAGGGCACTGAGACTGGTGAGAAACTGATAGAATGTCGTGAATGCGGGAAAGCATTTAGCCGTGGCTCACACCTCATTCAACATCAGAAGACTCACACTGGCGAAAAACCCTTTGAATGTAAGGAATGTGGAAAGGCCTTCAGTCGTGCCTCACACCTTGTTCAGCATCAGAGAATCCATACAGGTGAGAAACCATATGACTGTAAGGAGTGTGGGAAGGCTTTTGGTCGTACTTCAGAACTCGTTCTACATCAGAGACTTCATACTGGCGTCAAACCCTATGAATGTAAAGAATGTGGAAAGACCTTTAGGCAGCATTCACAACTTATTCTGCATCAAAGAACTCACACAGGTGAGAAACCCTATGTCTGTAAAGACTGTGGGAAGGCTTTCATTCGTGGCTCACAACTGACTGTTCATCGGAGAATTCATACAGGTGCTAGACCCTATCAGTGTAAAGAATGTGGGAAAGCCTTCAGACAGCATTCGCAGCTCACTGTACATCAGCGAATTCATACTGGTGAGAAGCCCTATGAATGTAAGGAATGTGGAAAGGGCTTTATTCATAGTTCAGAAGTTACTCGACATCAAAGAATTCATTCTGGGGAGAAACCCTATGAATGTAAGGAATGTGGGAAGGCCTTTAGACAGCATGCGCAGCTCACTCGGCATCAGAGAGTTCACACTGGTGACAGGCCCTATGAATGTAAGGACTGTGGGAAGGCATTTAGTCGTAGTTCATACCTTATTCAGCATCAGAGAATTCATACAGGTGACAAACCCTATGAATGTAAGGAATGTGGGAAAGCCTTTATTCGTGTTTCACAACTGACTCATCATCAGCGAATTCATACTTGTGAGAAACCATATGAGTGCAGGGAATGTGGGATGGCCTTTATTCGTAGTTCACAACTTACTGAACATCAGAGAATTCATCCTGGTATCAAACCTTATGAATGTAGAGAGTGTGGCCAGGCCTTTATTCTTGGCTCACAGCTCATTGAACACTACAGAATTCATACTGGTTAGAAAGCCTCGGATGTTAGGGATGTAGAAAAGCCTTTATGTGGAGTTCACATCTGGCTCAATACTAGATAATTTTTAATGTAATGTAATTATTGTCAGAAAACCCTCATTTGTCACCTTCATTATGGAACATCAGAAAACTCATACCAGAAGAAAATTCAATAAATGTGGGGATTCTTTTAGCCTCAATGTAGAAAAGCCTTCTTTTCTCAAAGTATGTTAAATTTCTGAGTCTCCCTAATGGAAAATGACCCTATTAAAATATTTTGTGAATGTGCCTTTTGCCATGGCATAGCCTTACTTAACATTGTCTCATTTATAATGACTCCTGACTGTATAGCAAAGGGCAATCTCTCTGTCCCTCAGCTTACTTACAATTTGTAAGTGATGATAAGTATACCTACCTAATAAAATTCTTATGAGGACTAAATCATATATTTGATATAAAGCTTTGGGAAAAATATCTGGCATATATATATATACTCAAAACATATTAGCTATTGCCATTAATTTTATTATCAGTATCATTGTTAAGGAGTTCATGTGAGAAGAGGGCCTTATAAATATATTGAATATCTAAAAGCCTTTATAGTTACTCGTTATGGTAATTTATTTTGACAAACAGTAGGAATGAAGGGGTGAGGTCTTCATTCAAAAGGTTAGAAATTCAGAAAATTAGAAATTAACAGAAGAGTAGTCAAGAGAAATCTGCCCATTTTATTTTATTTTATTTGAGTAGGAGTCTCACTCTGTTGCCCAGGCTGGAGTACAATAGAACACTCACAGCCACCGCAGCCTCGGCCTGTTGGGTTCAGGCGATCCTTCTGCCTCAGCCTTCCAAGTAGCTGGAACTACAGGTGCATGCCACCATGCTCAGCTAATTTTTTGATTTATTATAGAGGTGAGGTCTCGCTAAGTCACCCAGGCTGGTCTCAAACCCCTGGACTCAGGCAATCCTCCACCTCTGCCTCCCAAAGTGCTGAGATTACAGGTGTGAGCCACCATGTCCTGCTAAAATCCGCCCATTTTCAAAAACCCCCTCTATTTTTTTTTTTTTTTTAGTTGGAGTCTCACTCTGTCACCCAGACTGGAGTGCAATGGCCGCTCCAGGCCACCGCAGCCTCAACCTGCTGGGCTCCGGCAATCCTTCCGCCTCAGCCTTCCAAGTAGCTGGAACTACAGGCACGCGCTACCACGCCCAGCTAATTTTTGATTTGTTGTAGAGATGAGGTCTCATCAAGTTGCCTAGGCAGGTCTCAAACCCGTGGGCTCAGGCAATCCACTCACCTCGGCCTCCCAAAGTGCTGGGATTACAGGCTGAGCCACCGAGCCCAGCCAAAAAACCCCTCTAACTATAACTTAGTTTAAAGAGAAATCAAAGCTAAAATTACAAACTAGAAATAAGTATGGCTGGGTGCAGTGGCTTATGCCTGTAATCTTAGCACTTTGGAAGGTCGAGGCAGGAGGATTATTTGAGTCCAGGAGTTTGAGACCAGTTTGGGCAACAATAAGATCTGAGACCTCATTCTACAAAAAAATCAAAAAAATTAGCCAGGCATGGTGTTGCTCCTAGTTCCAGCTACTTGGGAGGCTGAGGTGGGGGAATTACTTTAGCCCAGGAGTTGGAGACTGCAGTGAACCTTGATCATGCCACCACACTCCAATCTGGACAAGGGAGTGAGACTCTAACTCAGAAAATAAAAATTAAAAAAAAAGAAATGAATGAGCATACTCTATATGTCAAAACCAGTTTAATGAAGCTGAAACTACTCCTGTCAGAACCCAAGGGTTGAGAATAGGAGCTTTGTTCTCCACATGCAGACCTCCCTACACCAAGTCTTTGCAGTCATACACTAAGCATATTAAATAAGTAGTCAACTCTAAAAGTTAGTGATAAATTACAACAAACCCATCAGCAGTAAGACTGATATTTTAAAATAAAAGAAAAAAATACAATGAAAAGCAAAATAGACTTACTCTGAAGTTTGTTTATTTAACAGTATAATAAAATAGACTATTTACAGTATGATCTAGAAAAAAATATGAATGAGGAAGTGGTAACAACTATTTGTAATAGCTTACTATGCATGGCTTGAACATATTTGAAAATCTAGAAAGAATGAATTTTTACAAAAATATCAAAATATTTTTATAAAATCAAGGAGATGTGGAATGCCTGGATAAATCAATGATTATAGGAGGTCATAAAAAGTCACTAAAGCTCTTTCCTCTTAAAGGAAGCACTTTAACCTACAAAAATTTCAAGGAAGAAATGATCCCTAAGAGAAGCTTGCCAGTTCATTTTCTGAGCTAAATGAAATTCTGATTAAAGAAAAAAAAAAACCTAAAGAATAGCTCCGGAAAAAAATTATAGAGCATTGTCATTTGTGAAGATATACATAAAGTACTGCTTATTTAATCCAATGCTATTAAAATTAAGCCAATTTAAAATGAAACGTGTGGAACTTCTCTCTTCTGGATTTATTATTATCTCAGAGTTTTGATACTGTAACCCCATGAGATCACATGATGGAGAAAAAAAGCCCTTAGCCCTTGGGGTAACCAGCCAATGTCTGGTGCAAAGGGCCAGTTGTACTTTGATACCTGCCATCTTGTCAGTCATTCTGAGGGTTTGGTTTAAACACCTGCATTTTCTGCATACGCTATTGCCTGCAAAAGATTAGAAAACAATATTCTAGGCCAGGCGAGGTGCCTAGAATCCCAACACTTTGGGAGGCCGAGACGAGGATTGCCTGAGCCCTCAGGTTCAAGACCAGCCTGGGCAACATGGTGAGACCGCGTCTCTATAATAAATCAAAAAATTACCCGGGCGTGGTAGCACATGCCCGTAGTTCCAGCTAACTTGGAAGGCTGAGGTGGAAGGATCGCCTGAGCCCAATAGGTTGAGGCTGCGGTGGCCAGGAGCCTGCCACTGTGCTCCAGCCTGGGTGACAGAGTGAGACGCCGACTCAAAAAAAAAAAGAAAGCAATGTTCTATTAATCATTTTTCTTTAAGTGGTTTAGTGATTAAAATGTATATTTGGAGGGACCCAAAGCTGTGACATCAGAAATTGTCACTTTGAATAATCAAAGCACATGCATAGGAAAAATGTTAAAGTTACAGTTTGGTAGAAGGACATAAGCAATCATCATACTACCTGTGGTTCTTTCTCACACAGCTACCCTTTATGGAACAATCACGGATATCAAGTTTTTGTATATACTTCTTGAGTTTTAACTTGTATAAGCATAGACACATACATAACATACTCTTTATAAAAAATTTTTTATGCAAGTGATAGCAGATTCCTAATATTTGTTTTCACATGTGCATACATCTTGAAGATTATACCATAACAATACACATATAGCTTCTTAATTTTTTTCTTATTTTGCCTCATTCTGTTTAAACAACTGTTTAGTATTCCATGATGTGTTTAATAATTTACTTAACCCTATCAGTTGAGGATTTTTAAAATTATTTTTTGCTTTCAAATAATCCTATAATAAATTTCTCCTTTGCACATAAATTATTTTGTACATGTGTGAAATATACTTAAGATGAACTTCTCGAAGTAGAAATGCTAGATCAAAATGTAAATTTTGAAAATTTTCTAAAAACAACTTTCTATTATGAAAAATTTGAATATATACAAAGATATATAGACTCTTACAGTGGCCCCATCACCAGCTTCAATAATTATCAACTAGCCGGGCATGGTGGCTCATGCCTGTAATCCCAGCACTTTGGGAGGCAGAGGTGAGAGGATTGCCTGAGACCAAGGGTTTGAGACCAGCCTGGGCAACTTGGAAAGACCTCGACTCTACAGTAAATCAAAAAATCAGCCAGACATGGCGGTGCACCCCGTAGTTCGAACTACTTGGAAAACTGAGGTGGAAGGATCGCCTGAGCCCAGTAGGTTGAGACTGCAGTGGCCATGAGCATGCCACTGCATTCCAGCCTAGGCAACAGAGTAAGACTCCAGTAAATTATTATTATTATTATTATCAGCTCATGGCCAATTTAGTTTTGTCTGTATTCCCACCCACTTGTCTCACCTCCATGTTACTTTTAAAGTAAATACCAAATATTTCATCCATAAACATTTCGGTATGTAGCTCTAAAATGTATTACAACTATAGAAAAGATTTTCTCACCTTAAAAAAAAAATCAATACTGCTTTAATGTCATTTCATAGGTGAGTGTTCAAATTTCTATTTGTTTCATAAATGTCAATTTTTACAAAAATTATAAGGATGCAAATTATGTCCACAAATTGTAGTTGATTGTTATGTCTCTTAAGTCTCAATCTAGGCATTTTCTTCCTCATCCTTTTCTTTTCTTGCAACTAGTTTTTTGAAGAAACTGTTATTTGCCTCATAATGCTTCTCAGAGTCTGGTTTTTGCTGGCTGCATCTCCATGGTATAGTTTAACATGCTCCTCTGTTGGTATTTCCTGTAAATTGGTAGTTGAAATTAGAGGCTTGCCAGGCGCAGTGGCTCAAGCATGTCATCCCAGCATCATGGGAGGCTGAGGTGAGTGGATTGCCTGAGCCCGCGGGTTTGAGACCAGCCCGGGCAACTTGGCGAGACCTTGTCTCTACAATAAATCAAAAAATTAGCTGAGCGTGGGGCACATACCCGTAGTTCCAGGTACTTGGAAGGCTGAGGCAGAAGGATCGCCTGAGCCCAGTAGGTCAAGGCTGTAGTGGCCATGAGCATGCCACTGCACTCTAGCTGGGCGACAGAGTGAGACTCCAACTCAAAAAAAAAAGAAATTAGAGGCGTAATCAGATTGATATTCATTTTGGGGGACAGGGTTAGGTTTATTTATAAATGGTCAGTACTAGGAGAAATAATAGGTGTCCTTTTTATGATGTTGGCAACCATTGATGTTCAATTGATAAATCTATTCATTAGGGGTTGTAAAATGGTGATATTCTATTAAAATTCAATATTATTTTTTGCTCTTTCAAACAATCCTATAATGTTTTTTCCTATTATTTATTCTTTTTTAGCTAGAATAATATCCTTTTATGAAGAAAAACTTCCCTTCAACTATCATTTAGTTACCCAATGTTACAATAAGGGAAAGCCAGATAAGTGCTTCTTTTTTTTTTCTCTACTGGTTTTCAAAATAATGAGTTGGTTCCCAAAATTCTGCCATGATAGCCAATGAAGTCAGTTG